TTAATTTACAGCAGAGATCCTCAACTTGCGGCATGTAGGCCAAATCCAGCACACCGAACTGTCCACTCCGGCCCACAGCTGAATTCTAAAATAAACGTCAAATAGTAATGTTATACAAAAAATGATTTTTATTTCGTTTTATTGAGTGTCCAGACCCAAAGGTGCCCAATTCTGGCCCTCCGACATGTATAGTTGGTGACCCTTGGTTACAGTCTAATATAATATAACATAATGGCAGTACCATCAGATATTACTGGAATCCAGAAAAAGCCAAAATAGTGTCAAAGTTTACAGGCCTGTGGCAGAAATGCAAGGAATAAAGCATCTGGGTGATGAGTTTTGCCAATGGAAAAAATTCCTTTCTAACCACAGAGCATGGTAGCCACCAGTCGGCAGCTGACTTCCTGCTGCAAATTTCCACCAGCTTTCTTTCCATAGCAACATGATGTCATGCGTTGTAGAGAAGAGTGTGCCAGACTGTGCATTTCCAGATTTAGGCATCACCCTTCTGTATTCGACTTGAGCCTCAGTACCCGAGGTGACACTCGCCTTGGCTGCATTTGTCTAAATCATCCACCCTGACACTCGTCAGCTGGCTTTGCCAGATTCCAACTAAAACTGCGTGGAGGAGATGATGGCATTTTTAAGCTCTCTCTGAGAGAAGGCATTCCTTTCTTGTTCAATCACTTCTTCCTAAAAAAAGAGTTGGATGTAAAAAGGTATTTGAAAAAAAGTCTGCTGGTATTGTTTGTCTTTTAATCACAGGTATGGCATTTCAGAGTTAATTTAGGAAAACGGAAACAGATGACATATTCTGCTGTGACGTCGACTCACTTTTTTTTTATCAGCTGTCTTTAAATCATCTCAAGAATGTCCGACTGTAACTTTAGCTATTTGTAACCGTTGTCATTTACCTACATTTGCATACTTGCCAAGATACAGATTTCCTCTAGGTCTAAATCTGTCTGGCCACACGGTGTAACAGGATAGATCTGAACTATTTACACTTTAGACAGCGGGGCGTTTGGTGGGGTGCAACAGCTGCCAGAGGTTATGCGATATGAGCGAGGAAGGCACGTCCCGGGGGCACACAGGAGCACTTGATGATGTGTGGTGTTACAGCGATGCACAGGAAGAAAAATGCTCAGATTGAATTCACTCCACCGGGGACAGCGGGGAGTTAAATACAGGTCAGAGTTGCACGGAGGAGGAGGATGGGTCATTGTGTTTGAGTGTAGTTTAAGTCCCTGCCGAAGGTGGAGGGAGCAGAAGAAGGTTAAAGTTTTTACTCTGTGCTTACTCAGGATTAACTGCTCTCACATTGTCTCAGGATGCAAAGGCATAGTAGGTCAAAGGTTGCACAATAGTGTGCCGGAGGATGTTGTCTGTTCTTCTGAAGTGGTAAACAGGTTATGATGTCACATCCTTTGCCAAAACTGGCACGCCTACACTGAGGCAAGATTCATGAACTCATGCACACACAAACTCATTTAACTACAATTCAGCCAGAATTGGACTTTTGAATTTAGTACCTGACAAAGAAGTAATTTTAAGAAAATGTATTTAAGAACTGAAAAACTGATGCTTGTGTGATTTTCTAAGCTTCAAAGTATGAGCATTTTAGAAGCCTTTTTTTTGCCTCTGTCTATCTCTATCAGTTGTAATGGTAACAAATCTCAATTTGTCAAAAACATTATTGTCATCCATTGCAGAACATTTCTGATCAACATCCTTTACCCCAGGGTGCTTACATGCTGGCAGCAGCCTTGGCACTGTGTCTGATGAAGGGACACCTTGCTGACTTGGTCAGTTCTATATTTAAGAAGATCCTCAGGAAGAGAAGGCTTCCAAACTTCCCTAATCTGTTGCCAGGGCACCTGTGCCTGAGTGATGACCCATGTCCATTCAGTCACCTGAACTCCACAGGCCAGCATGTGTGGGGATTAGAGAAGCCAGAGTCAAGTATGATGTTGATTAGGAAAATCCTGCTGACTACAGTTGTTTGGGGTTTTAGCTAGTGTATTGTGGTGCGATGATTACATAACAGCCAAGTGATGATACAGACTGTAGACTAATGCTACCTAATTACTCCCCTCGGTTTGTGTGTTCTACATGGATTGTGTTTCTACTCCTCTTTCGACCGAGACTGCAGATGATTGCCCCCCTCCATAAATCAGATCTATTTTTTTTTTTTTTCATATGCAGCTTTGTCTTAATTACAAATATTTGTAATGGTGGAAATACAGACCCACCCACAGTTGCAACATTTGCTATATTGGGTTGTAAACACACAATCCCCCAAAAACATCTTTGCAGAAGACGTGACTCATTTTGGCTATGAAGCACTAAAGATCAGTATCATCGGTTTTCCCGAGCTATTTGGGGGAATTCAAAAATTGTTTACTGTCATGTCTGTTTTTATAAGTAATTTGGCTTCTGGAATTCAGGTCTGTTTATTCTTGATGTAGCAGGCACTTCTGTTCTGACCAGAAAACCTTGATGCATGGATAGTCAAAGGTTGAATGTCTGTTTATTATCCCAGAGCCAGGCAGTGAAGTGATGTGACAGTAAACTCTCTCAAATTGCATTTTTTGTGAGCAATGCCCCCCACCCGCATGGGAGTAGCCACTGTGGTCTTTGGACCCCACAGCGTCACTGGAGTTTGTTGACTTTTGTAGGAAAATTTCTCTTTTTCGCTCTCTCCCTATGAAGAGGTCAGGGTGTAGTGTCAGCACATTACAGCAGGGGATTTTTCTTCTTGCCCAAGGACACTGCTCAAGGAGGCAGAACACTGTTTTGTTTTTCATTTTACCTATTTTACTGCCACTTATGTGAGTTTTATGCCTAATTGATGTAAATACACAGTCCTAGCTCAAAGAATTGTTAGGGTTAGAAAGTAAAAAATATCTTCTCGTGCCTGAACCACACCATAGAGCCTCTGTCTGTTTCCAAGTGTTTCCTGATGTAAATTTAATTTAATGTATATGTAAAAATATAAAAAATAGCTTTAATATCATGTGACCCACCGACTATCACCCAATGTCTAATTTTAATATGGTAGAATATGGCATGCTATTTTTGTATTTCATATTAAGGGCAAACCAAGGGTGAATGGTTTCTAGTATATTTCTCATTGACATACAGTGCATTAGACTATTTTAGCCTAAATGAAGTTCTATGAAGGAAAACAAGTTTCAACACATTGAGCCAATCACTTTGGAAATAAAAAAGTATCTCATGCTATTTAAGCACCAACTATCTGACATTGTATATGTTTTCAGTTTCATAAATCAATTTTCAGATTTCTTCAGATTCAGCGTCTCCACAGCTCTTCCCTTCAACTCTCAGCGTCCTCTCTTCTCAAAACCTCCATGTTTCTATTAAGATATTTTTATGCCCCAATCCAAATGTTATTGTTTTATATTTTATTAATCCACTCTGCCTGTGGAACACAAGTTCAAGGATCTAATGTTTTCTACAGCTGAGTTCTCAAAGACAGGATTATATCTGGGCGTAATTTTTTGTTATGCTTTATTGTAGCTGACACATTCACACCAAATCCTGAAGAGAGCTGTGGGAGGGAAAGACATGTTGGAGAAGGAAAAACTGTTTCACACACACTAGTTTATCCTCAATCCACACATGTTCTGGTGCTTTATAAAAACTATAAACGTGAGTAACTCCAAAAAAAGGCTCCAGGCTTTTGAAAGTGTCCCCAGATGTCACATACTGTGACTAAAGTTTCTGTTTGGAATATAGATCAGCCAATCCAGTGTGTCATTCAATGGAGGATTATGAAGCAGGCAGGCATCTGATTCACTCTTCCTCCTCAGGTTTTTCTGCATTGCGGCATGAATTCATCTGCTATTGATTCAAATGTTGTCCCCTGGGCTCCAGTGTGCCTGGTTTTGTCACTCTCACCAACGAGAAAGAGCCTTTTTTATGAAAATGGAAGATTCTGCAGAAAAGCTCTGCACCTTTAAATAGATGAAATCGTTGCGTGATTAAGACTGCAGGAAGGACGTCTGAAAGATTTGGTTTCAGGGATATTTGAGCCCTTTTGATGTGCTCTAAGCTAATGCATGTTGATGCAGCCAACAGAAAAACCTAATTCACTGTCCGAAGACATTTGCTCAAGGGAAATCGTGAGTGCACTTCAACAGGACATTGAATTGGTTTAGACTGGAGGCCACTGCAAATGACAGGTCGTGTCCAATTTTTCTCTTAGTGACCTAATGCCAAAATTGGGGTCCTAATGCTGTTCACATGTTACTGTGTTGCCGGAACCAACTATTGGTGGTGCAGAAATTAGCCTTTTTATTTTATAAGAGGAAGAATTTTTCAGGTATAGGTTTGTCATGTGAAAGTGTAATAAATTACATCTGTCCTGGCGACAGAGGCAATTTTTTCTTAATTAACTATTTAGTCTTGTCTGTGTTGAAAAAACGCTCACACTGTACCTTACACATCAGGACGTCATACAGTCACTGTACACTGCCAATTTGATTTAATATCAATTCATGTGAAGTTCTTAATGTTTAACAGTCATGGGACTGCTGTGGGTCCCTTTCAGACTTTAGCCTAGTTACGTTCAAGCTAAGTACACTTTCCTTTGACCTCTATATTCGCTACAATTGTAGACTAGAGTGCTGTAGGGTTGAAAATGAACTCAGGACTGACCCAGTGGATGGACTGATACACAGATGTGCCAAACAGGAGGCAATATGGGAAAATCTGGGCAGTGACATTTGAAATGGACAACAACATTTACATTCTTAAAGGGAGCATGAACTGTGCCACGCTACCAGGCTACACAAGTCAAAATAAACTTGCTGTGGACAGAATTGTGCCTTTGTCTGAAGGAAAGGGCCTTGTGTTATGTAAGTTATGTCTTATGTGATGGAATGAGTTGATGACCAACATAAAGAAAAGGAAAGCATCTATCAGTCATTGTAATGGTAGATGGATTTAAAAGGATTAAATCAATTTTCCTTTTCCAGGATCTCCTCCACTGAGCGGAACAGGGACTGTGACTGTTCTGGTAGACGATGAGAACGACAACACCCCCGTCTTCAGCTCCTCCACATTCTACACCACCATCGCGGAGGATGCACCCACAGGGACAGACGTGCTGCTCGTCAACAGCTCGGATGCAGATGTGGGCATGAACGGCGTCATAAGGTACTGACGTAAATACTGCTGCATAACTGGGCTTCATTTACGCCCTCTGTGCTCATTAATTATTGTGTTTTCGGTGGAAATGCTACAAGTTATGGTTAGTCCAAATGTCTGCTCCGACTCTTCTGACCCAGTTATGTGGGATTTTCATACATATATTATCTTCTGAGCGGCTTGTTTTCATGCTTTAATTAGAGAGTGCAGAGGAGGCTGCGGCGACACACAACAAATGTTACTGTTTACATCCATGTATATTTGCATGCTCTTCAGACCACTTTAAAGTGTCAAAAGACCAGTATCAAAGACAGGTCTTGCTTTGTTCATTTAGTTATTGAGACCCTGCACATAATAAAAAATGATTCATAAAGTGGCTCCCAAATGAAAAGAACTGTCAATGGTTACCATTACACAACTGTGTAAAAACATAAATGCAACATAAGTAACTTTAAACTTAACAAAGGAACTTGCACTTGTTATTTACAATTGAAAAATGCTCATTATAAGATATCTGTAAGAGTAAATACTTAGATATTGACCTATTAAGTATTTTCTGAACAATTCAGTGGACATCTGTGTCTTCTGGTGCAGATTTAGTCACCAACAGGATTCATTGGCTCAGTACTACTTTCGTTGGATCCCCTGGTGTGAGAATACCCTTTCAGGACTATACAGAGTCTTTGGCTCATATTGGGCCTTTAGAGAAATGCTTCACTTTATCAAGCGCTTTGTGAAATCTCTGGCTGATGTGGCCATTGATGACAGGAGTTGAGGAGAGGGGTGGGGGGGAGCGTGGAGTTGTAGTCAACACCCGTAGTTATTGTTTGGGCTGCTTATTCTCAGGCCAGAACAACAGTGTTTTTCACACTACCGGCCCCCCTCCACGGGGGAGCTTGTACAAGCTTCTGGTCGGTCTCTGTCATGCTGCAAGCTGACTCAAGTGTGACCCAGCCTCTCTCCTGTGTAACCCCTCTGGGGGATGGGGTTCCACGGTGTGATCCAGTTTCCCAAAACATAGTAATGAGGATGGTAATTGTCCATGACACCAGGAGTTTTGCCCATCAGGGGTTTCTGGTGATTTAAGGTATTTTAATAGAGACCAGAACAGGTTACCATTAGATTTTATTTTGATTCTTTCCAAACTTTTGTTATGTTAAATCCTGGAAGTCTGTTGATGTACATCAACAGTTATTTTAGACATTTTTTAAATTAAATTATTCATCAACATTTTTTCTTTGCTTCACCATCTCTGCCCTATTTTTGTTAAAGTGTACACTATTTGTATGTATAGTTCTTTTAATGTGGTCTGTCTCCAGGTGAATGTGAACTTCAAAGTGACAGGAAAAGTTTGTTGGTTTAATATACTAATGTAAAACTCCCATGTTTTCTTTAAATCCTTATGAGTTTCATGATCTGCTATATTGTAAAATTCCAAGGAGTGGGATTAATTGAAAAAAGATCTCTGTTGCTCTTCAGCATCAGCACCAGCAGTGAGAGCCGCAGGGACTCCCACTGTGCAGCTAAGCAGAAAACAGTGGCTGCATTTGATAGAATGTATGCCTCAGTCAGTTTACTGGATTTGATGTCACTCCAGCACAATGTGGTGACCATTATTGGGCATTCTCCTGCAGGTTTTGTCGTCAAATACGTTTTAGTCAAGGTTGAAACAGTGCCCTCTATAGAGCACATTTCGACAAGACAGGAAGATAAGTGCAGTATCTTTTATCAGCATGATGGCATGGACAATAAACAGCTATAAAATATTCTGAAAAAAATACAGTTTGTGAAAATTAATTAGTAAGGACAACAACATTTGACACAGATGCAAATCTAACTAAATATAATTGAAATAAAAGACAACTGATTTTCTTTTGGATAAATTGTCTGTTTTTCAAGAGTTGTTTTTTTCATTTAAAACTAAATCCTGAATGAAATTAGGTATGTGATGGTTTAGAAATATTTACTTTGAAAGTGTTAGTTAAAAGGAGCATTGGAATTTTAATTAATTCAGTTCTTTCAATGGCAGTCTCCTCTTTTTCTCCTCTTACAGCTACAGCCTATCAGGAGGACACAGCCAGTTCTCTATCAACCCAGCCACAGGACAGATTATCACTAGCTCTCTACTGGACCGAGAGGACAGGGCTAATTACCAACTGCTGGTCGTGGCCACTGACGGAGGGCAGCCCGAGGGCTTGTCCAGCTCGACCACGGTGTCAGTGACGGTTTCAGACATCAATGACAACCCTCCACGCTTCCACCACCATCCTTATGTCACTCACATTCCTGCCTCCACTGCTGCTGGTCAGTGCAAAAGTTACTCACATTTTCTCAGCATTTTTCTTAGCTTTTATTTGTTTTTTTGCTGCATTTAAGCCATTTGTTAGTACTTTGATTGTTGGTAAACCAACCTCATTAAAGTAGTAATTAATCATTTTTTGACTCAACCATTTTGCTCTAGTTTTTAATTAAATCAACAAACTTTGTGAATTTATCTAAACTATCTAAGCAACTTTTTAATGAGATAAGATAAAAAAGTTATACTTTTTATATCGTAAGAATCTGGATCCTAAACAATATTTAATTTTTTCTGATTTCTTTAAAAGAATTTTTGGACTCAACACAGTACACACTGTTAAAGTAGAAAATGTTTGTTAGTGATCATATCTGCTTACACGTGTTAATGTAGGTTTATTTTTTTACAAATTAAGCCATAACATCAACTTCTCTTTATTTGTTTTCAGGGTCCTTGGTCTTTGCTGTCACTGTCACTGATGAGGACTCAGGCTCCAATGCACAGTTGCACTATTCCCTTATGGGCCGAAACTCAGAAAAATTCAAGATAGACCCAGTCAGAGGGGCCATTACTGCCAATGAAAAGCTGACAGGAACTTCAGAGGTGACCCTCACAGTTCGAGTGAAGGATGGTGGAGCTAATCCCAAAACAGATACAACCACTGTGACTGTCCGCTTTGTTACTGGAGGGAACTTCCCTGTCATCAAGGTGAAGGAACGTGTGTTCACGTTCCCTGAGAACCAGCCGACCAATCACATAGTTACCTCAGTGGGTGGGTCTTCCATGAGAGGTGGCTCCCTGTCATATTACATCGCCAGTGGAAACCTGGATAATGCTTTTCACATTGACCAGCTATCTGGGGAACTGTCCATCAGACACTCTTTGGATTATGAGCAGATCCAGAAGTATGTTCTCTGGGTTGAGGCTAGAGATCAGGGTTTCCCACCTTATTCCTCTTATGAAAAAGTGGAAATCAATGTGCTGGATGTAAATGACAATCACCCTGTGTTTGATAAGGATCCCTTCCATGCTGAAATACTGGAAAACGTTTCACCTCAGAGAGTGTTAATTGTCTCTGCTCTTGATCTAGACAGCGGGCCTAATGGCCAGCTGGAATATGCCATCATTGACGGCAACAAGGAAAACAGCTTCAGCATCACTCGAGCAACTGGTGAAATTAGAACCACCAGGCCTCTTGATCGGGAGAAAGTGGCTCAGTATTCTTTGAAGGTAAAAGCTACAGATCGGGGGTTGCCTCCTAAAAGCACAGCTGTCAAAGTGGTAATCACTGTCTTGGACGTAAATGACAATGCTCCAAAGTTCTCCAAAATCTTCAGTGCTGCAGTGGCTGAAAATGCCCCCGTGGGTTACGTTGTAACCAGGGTCACCACCACAGATGAAGATGCTGGTTCAAATGCCATTAGCAGATATTCAATCACAGATACCAGCCTTCCATTCAACATTAATCCAAGCTCTGGAGACATTACCATAAGCAGGCCACTCAATAGAGAAGACACTGATCATTACATTGTTAAAGTGTCTGCCCATGACTCTGGTTGGACTGTAAGCACGGATGTTACCATATTCATAACAGATATTAATGATAATGCACCTCGATTTAGTCGCCCGTCTTACTACCTGGACTACCCCGAGCTCACAGAGGTGGGCTCTCTTGTTACTCAAGTGTACGCCACAGATTCTGACGAAGGTATTAATGGCAAAATTTTCTATTTCATTCGGTCCCAGTCAGAATTTTTCCGAATAAATGCAACAACTGGTGAGATATTTGTAAAGCAGCTGTTAAAATACCAGAATTCAAGTGCAAGTAGCATAAACATAAATCGCCACAGCTTCATCGTAACAGCCTCAGATCGGGCGGTCAAACCTTTGATGAGTGAGACTACAGTAATTGTGAACATTGTGGACAGTAATGACAATCCACCTGTGTTCAGCTCCCTAAGCTACTTCACTCCTGTCACTAAGAGCGTTAAAGTTGGCACAAGACTGATAAGAGTTGATGCTCAGGACAAAAAGGACTTTGGCCTCAATTCTGAGGTGGAATACATGATAACAGGTGGAAACAGCTCTAGCAAATTCAAACTAGATAAGACCAGTGGATGGGTTACTGTTGCCACCTCTTTGGTGTCAGATATGAAGAAGATTTTCCTCATGGACATCACAGCCAGTGATAAGGGTAACCCTCCTTTGTCAGCACAGACATCAGTGAGAATTGCAGTCACGGAGGAAAATCATCACACACCAGAGTTTTCACAGAGCCACATCTCAGCCACTGTACCTGAAAGTCTTACTGTGGGAACGGCGATAAGGACACTGTCAGCTAGAGACAAGGACAAAGAAACGAATGGTGTCATAACTTATAATATCACATCAGGCAATGACAAAGGTTTGTTCACGCTCAACAGTAAAACTGGAGTGTTGTCTTTAGCTCAGCCTCTAGATTTTGAGGAGAATCAGCAGCACGAGCTCAGAGTCTCAGCCACAGACGGAGGCTGGATTGCAAAAACAAGTTACGTGTCTGTGACCGTACATGTGACTGATGTGAATGACAACCCTCCTGTGTTTGACCCCGATGAGTACTTCCCTACTGTGCAGGAGAATGTTCCTAGTGGCACAACTGTGGTTAAAATGGACGCCACTGACCGAGATTCAGGAGCTAATGCTGTCATGGCCTATGTTATCCAATCATCAGACAGTGACCTCTTTGTTATTGACCCAAACTCTGGCACCATCACCACCCAGGGCTTCTTGGATTACGAGGCTAAGCAGGTCTACCATTTAACAGTGAAGGCCTTCAATGTCCCAGACGAGGAGCGCTGCAGCTTCGCCAATGTCAACATTCAACTAAAGGGAGCCAATGAATATGTACCCCGCTTTGTCTCCAAACAGTACTACTTTGAAATCTCTGAAGCTGCTCCAAAAGGCACAGTGGTCGGAGAAGTGTTTGCCAGCGATCGAGACCAAGGAGATGATGGAGTGGTTCACTACCTCATTTTTGGGAAGAGCAGGAAAAAAGGCTTTGGCATTAATAAGAGGACAGGTCAGATTTATGTCACAGGTACTCTAGATCGTGAGAAAGAAGAAAAGATATCATTAAAGGTGTTAGCCAAGAATGCAGGCAGCATCAGGGGAGCAGATATTGATGAAGTTTTTGTGAATATCACCATTCTTGATGCTAATGACCCACCTGTTTTTACACAAGAACTGTATGATGTGCAGGTTAGTGAAGGTCTCTCACCAGGAGGTCTGGTAACCTTTGTGAGCGCTGAGGACTCAGACTCTGTTCCAAGTTGGAGCAGATTTACTTACTCCATTTCTCCGGAGTTCGATAAAAATGTTTTTACTATCAACCCTAAAACGGGCCAAGTGTCTGTGGCTGCAGAGCTGGACAGAGAAACGACTCCTGTTTATAATCTAACCATTCTAGCCGTGGATACTGGCACACCTCCTGCAACAGGAAGTACCACAGTTATTGTGAATCTGGAAGATATCAATGATAATGGTCCAACTTTGACAAAAACGTATGCTGAAGTAATGGAGAACCAGAGAGCTGGCACTGGAGTGACAATGTTAACAGCTTCTGACCCAGATTTACCTCCCAACCAAGGCCCTTTCCTATACAGTCTCCTCAGTTCTGGCTCTGCCAACAGCTATTTCAGCTTAAGTCCAGCTGGAGTTTTAACTACGAGCAGAGAGATAGACAGAGAACAAATAAGTGACTTCTACCTCTCTGTTATGATTAAGGATTCCGGTTTGCCTCAAATGTCTTCCACAGGAACGGTCCGCATCAAAATAAATGACCAGAATGACAATCCTTCTGAGCCAAGATCCATGGAAATATTTGTCCACTACTTTGGGAACATGTTTCCTGGTGGTTCCCTGGGTGATGTCAAACCCAGAGACCCAGACATTCAGGATAGGTTTCACTGCTCCCTTATTCCACCATCCTCTGGTCTGTTCAGTATCCCAACTGGAACCTGCAATCTCAACGCTAAATCCCGTTCAACAGATGGAACTTTTGAACTAACTATTCGCAGTAGTGATGGTGTCCATGGATCAGTCAGTAATACGGCCAGGGTCGTCTTCATGGGCTTCACCAATGCTACAGTGGACAACAGCATACTCATTCGACTCCACACCCAAGGAGTCAGAGACTTCCTTATGAACCACTACCTCAGCTTTTTACGCATTTCCCATTCCCAGCTAGCAGGACTGGGAACAGGGGTGCTCCTGTACGGAGCATTTGAGCTTAACAATCAGACTTTCCTGATGGCAGCTGTTAAACGAGGCCATGGACAATATGTGAACCCCAGTGGTGTAGCCACATTCTTTCAAAGTATCAAAGACATTTTATATAGGCAGAGTGGGGTGCAAATAGACGCCGTGGACCATGATCCTTGCACACACAACCCTTGCCAGAACGGAGGCAGCTGCAAACGGCGTCTCAGTGTCGGGCCTGATATGAAGACAGAAGAAAGTGTCCCAGTGATCCTTGTTTCTAACAACCCCCTGCAGCCCTACGCCTGCAGCTGCAGACCAGGCTACACGGGAGCTCTGTGTGAGACAGACGTTGACGAGTGCCAGCCATCACCCTGCCACAATGGTGGCACCTGTCACAATTTGGTGGGTGGTTTCTCATGCACCTGTCCTGAAGGTTTCACGGGCATGGCCTGTGAGAGAGATATCAACGAATGTTTGTCCAATCCCTGCAAAAATGGAGCAATGTGCCAGAACTTCCCTGGAGGTTTCAACTGCTTGTGCAAGTCAGGCTTTGCAGGTAAAGTACACACAACATGTCATTTTTGACCACAGAACCAAATAAAGACATAACACTTTAGCGCCAAGAAAAATATTTGTTTCTAAATAAGTCCAGGAGAGGAGGTCTTGTATGAATAGTATACTACAATAAGTCTTGCAAAAACTTTAATTTACAGATTAACAGGGGGCATACGCTGTGCTAGGGATAGCAGCATGTCATGTTTGCTTTAATAAGAAAGCATACAGAGCTAACCACAGTTGGGACTTGAGTATAGACTCCACACAGGTTTCAACCAGTATCACATTTCTCTTTGTCCCCTCATGTGCATGCAGCTCTGACCACACACGGATGATCTTCTAATCCATCTGTGTATAAAGGGGTTGCTTAATCAAAGCTATTTGGCTGTTGAGTTGGAGTTGTATGACAAATGAGTGCCTTTATAAAAGATCCAATCAGGCTTTTCATTTTGGAAATGTAATGAGTGCTCTGCATTATTACCCCTGATAAAAGTGGGAGCGGATTTTTAAGTGGAATTACTTAGAAGGATAATTTAAACCCTGTGCAATGTCCAGGTGCTGACTGCAGCATCTGAAAGACATTTCCAAAGCAGGCGATTTATCCCCAGTCAAGTCATTACTGTCCCTTTTTATTATGACCATAAAAAATGACCAGCGATCTTGGGTTTTCATCAAGATGAACGGCCCTCGCTGCAGAAGTGCACCTATTGACTTACAGTAGTTTGCATGGCCCTGCCATGAACTCTCAACTTCCTGTTTTCCCTGCCGGGTTTTTGGCAGTGGGGTCTCTCTCTCTCTCTTAAGAAACTTGTCTCAGGATTTGCAGCGTGAAAACACGTAGATTTATTGTTTCATCAGTCTTATGGCTTTGCACCATACCCTGCAGTTTGTGTTAAACCTCAACCTGTGAGTTTCATTGTTTTTCTTGATTTCATGTGATCACATGCACATTTCTTTTGTGATTTTTGTTTCATTCAAATACCCACTTATTTTATGTATGTCTAATTGCACTGCAAAAAATATGGATATTGATTTTACAACATCTTTCAAATTATGATTAATCTTACTTGGAAGAATCTTTTTCCAGTTGTCCAGACAATTTCCTTATTACAGAGTCAAGATGTTGTTTTGGTTCGAATGATGTCATCATTTGAAAAGTTTTCCACAGTAAAACAGCACCTAGATTTTTGAGAAAGAAAATCTCAGAATAAAAAGAAATTTAACTATAGACTTTAAATAATATATTTGGCCGTTGATTTGAGATAAATCCAATATTTTTAGTTTTTTGCAGTGCACTCCACTGTCATGCAGGCCTTTCACGTGATTAAAGGCCTGCATGGATTTCTCCTGCAGGAGAAGTGAACTGTTTTCCTCTTGGGACTCTTTTTTTTGTCTACCACCACATTCATTTTAATTTGTGTTGTTCTGTGAACCCAGGCAAAACGTGTGATTCCATCATCAATCACTGTGAATGTAACCCTTGTTTTAACGGTGGGTCCTGTCAGAACCGCGTGGATGGATATTACTGTCATTGTCCATTTGGTAAGTAATGGTAGGAAACTTTTAAGGGTTATTAGTGAGCTTTGTCAGATTGAAAAACAAGACGGACAATTTCACATGAGATACCTCCCCGAAGAAAAGAAATGTTACCTATGATTTCCTAAGCAAATGTGGACGATTCATTTAGACTTTCCATCTCCCATGTTCTGTAGCTTTGGCTGTCTTCAGCCACCCCCCCCCCCCCCCAGTTTGGGCTAGGTTTAAATGATCTGTGATGTATCATTTGTCACAAAATACACGCAGCTGATAATGTAGCTGAGTAATGATTCAATTTTATCTGCAGATATTTTTATCTCAGCGGCACCGTGAATCATTCATCGCTTCCTCTCTGATCCCTCCTCTGGTCTGTTTATGTCCTCAGGGGTTTTCGGCAAACACTGTGAACTGAACAGCTACGGCTTTGAGGAGCTCTCCTACATGGAGTTTCCGTCTCTGGATCCCAACAATAATTACATATATATTAAGTTTGCTACACTGCAGAGCAATGCACTGCTTATGTACAACCACGATAACCAGACCGGAGACAAGGCGGAGTTCCTGGCTCTGGAGATCTTCGAGGGACGGATGCGATTCTCATTTAACCTCGGGAGTGGAACTTACAAACTCATGACTATGATAAGAGTCTCAGATGGGCAGTTCCACACAGTCATCGCCAGGAGAGCTGGGATGGTAAGAATGTCTCTTTTTTATAGTTCAAAGTAACTCACGTCTTAAAGGTGTATAGTGTTTATATCTTGGGCTTTTAAACCAGACAGCTCTATCCAGATTTGGCCTTATATTCTTTTTTGCACCATCAGATTATAATTAAACTCCCCCAAACCATAGCTTATGGTTTCCAAGGTTTGTAATTATATTTTATTGCCCGTTGTGATGTACAATAAGAGGATCCAAAATGGCTCTGAAGGTTAAATTTCTGTCTCCTATAGTCTGAATGAAAGGCTTCTTCCTGCCAGAAGTGCAGTGGCAAGAGAAGAGGGAAAAAACCCAAGCAGGCCCTGTCAGACCTTTCATAATATAAGTCTCCTGCTGGACTTCCAATCTGTCATTTCTCACCATGTGCCGGGAGTTACATAGGAAGCTGGTAAAATCGTTAAATTGTCAGTTTTGAAACGGTGCAGAGTGACAGGAAGGAAAGGAATATGGCAGACACCTAGAGCCACAAATCCATGAGTATACAGTGCCCTGTGAATAATACACAGAGGTGGTCATGTTAGGACTCTTGAAGAATGAGAGACAAAAGTGTGAGTGTCATGCCTAAAGTGGTGACTCCCTCAGGAAGTGTAAAGTGAACCCAATAGCAATGTTTTATCCTTTAGAGAGACTGTATGGGAAGTTTCGGTAGTCGGACCAGGAGTCTGTGTTAAACCAAAGTCAAGATCAGAGAAAAGGCACAGCGTAAGGTCTCATGATCAAGAAAGAAGGATCCAAATAATCAGAAGAAGCGGAAAGTTCACTGATATCATTGCCATTCCAATTTATCACCATTACCAGCCTAATTACTTTAGTTCAACTCCGCATTAAATATAATGGTTCTGTTGGCCAGTGTACGAGGAGTTTAAATTTGATTAAGTATAAACTAAACAGTTTCCATGATGATTTCACTACACACAAGGAGAAAGGTTTAACATAGTCAAAACACTGGTGTCAAGATTCAAACACACTTAATGGACATTTGTCCAGTGTCCCAGACCAATCCTTATGTCATCAGGATTTTGGTTTTCCCCTAAAGGGAACTTTTTCCATAGTCATATTTTTATTGATATAACTGACCCATGTTTCCAACACGTCTCTTCTCTTTCCTTATGAGACCTTTTTTTTTGCATTTCTGGCATATATATATTTCAAGTACACATTTTGACACATTTATAATATTCCCTTAAATTATCTTAATTTAGTATTCAGTGGGGAAAAAAAGTGCCTTTTTGATAAGGCACCTTCCCATTTTTGGAGTCGTGTGGTTTTGTCACTAGTTAACCTGTCCATAACCAGTAAGGGAAAATAAAAGCAGAGGGCAGCACTGCTGCAGTTGAATAATCTATAATCTATCATGAATAATCTGTCATACTCAACTACAATTTGTTTTGGATTATTCAATGCTGTCAGCTCTTGCTACTTTGGCACCCTCCATCACACTCTTTTTTTACAGCATCGCCCTCTCCAGTATTTGGCATTCTAGGCACCAGCTATTTGCCAAAGCTCTGAGTAAATTCCTGCATATTTTGCAATGTACAAACCTATTTTTCCCCTGGATTTTTAATGACAACAATATTTTCTCATTGGACTCGCCCTTCTGCCTAAACTATGTCCACCTTATTTGTCAGTGAAACAAGCATGAAATGAATGTTTAACAACAGCTACTCAGCGCCTGCACCACAACACAGTAAAGACTACGGTTCTTCCATTGTCTTTAGTCACGGCCAAAACAATATTCTCCAGAAGTCGTGTTCGACAAACACACACACACACAGTCAGCATTTATTCTTGTAACAGTCAACATTAATCCATGGGGCTTTTTTTGGAGAAGAATTGTTTTCATGTCCTCTGCAGTACAAGACACTTGACATTGAAGCTAACATTTATAGGATATGGCTGCCATGGCTTTGATCAGAGCACAAAACATTAATGCAATGTGCATGTGGTTCTGGCGTCCTGCTCAGTGCTTTCAGAACAAGTCAAGAATGCTTTTAAAAAAGGAATGGATCCTCCCTATTGTTGTTTTGGTTGTGTTTCTAATGCCGTGGTTCCAGGTAAGTGTGTGTACTCAGTGGGGTCTTATTCTCCTGAATGATTTATTGTAAGGCCAGTGTGATCTGTGTTTATTTAAGATCCAGCAGAGGTGGAGCATAATTGCCCCGGTTTTTCAACACTTTCACACACTTTTCCGGACATTTTCCTCACCAGCCCATTTCTTTTCTTCCTCATAAGGTCATTCCCTCTCAGGGCACACAAAGAGAGAGGCAGAGAAAGAGAGAGCGAGAGGAAAGGGGAGGGAGAGAGAGGGAGAGAGAGACAGAGAGAGAAACATCTGGGCAAAAGATTTAGTGCCATTAACGGGAAAAAGGAAATGTTTGCAGTAATCTATGTCATTTTTATGCCACTCTCCCATTGACTGCAGTAAGGGACTGATGAAATATAATTGGCCCACATGCCATGTGGTGGACAAAACTCACTTGTACCATTGAACAAGACTTAGTTGCACAAATGAATGGGTGGAACCAGAAACTCTGCAGTGAATGTGGTGCCCACAAGATATTTGGGGTGACACACCAAGAGATCTGTACTGAACAGAGTTCTATTAGGGGCCAGGAATTAGATTCGCAATAATAGACCAAGGGTTAGGGTTAGAACATTCTCAGATTGACTTTTCCCCTTCAGTTAAAAAGCTCAGTGTGCACATGTGTTAATGAATGACACAGTCCACATTGTTCTGCTGTGTTAGTCACTGTGTTAGTTCAACACATACTTTTCACTTTTTCAAGCATTGTTTTGATGTTTTGATCAAAGAAAATGAAAAGAAAAAGATACAGCATGACTATTATTTTTCATATTTATCAAATATATTATCTAAGAGGCTATTTTCAACCTAAATTTGAATTAAATTGGTTCTTTTGTTATTTCATTATATATCTACAGTATATATAGTAGATGTTTCCCTCTGTAGCACAACTAAATAAATACTCCAAATTCAATCAATTGGACCTGCCCCCCCAAAATGAGTTTCTGTCCTCCAAAGTCGCCCACTTTTAGAACCATTGCATCTCATAATTAAATTGAAGCCAGTACAGCTAGTCAGCCAAACTTATTTTTCATGTGTTTCTTTCTATCCTCCAGGCTGCATCCCTCACTGTAGACCTGTGTGGCGATGACCAAGAACCAGGCTATTGTGCTGTGAGCAACGTGGCAGTACACACTGACTGGTAAGGGAATGAAACAAGCACACACATAGTTGGTTTTGGATTTAAATGTCTTGGATTTTCTTTTTTTTTTTCAAACATGAAAAAAACCGAATGGAAAATATCACCAAATCTTTGAGAACACAGTTTGGATTTTTTTTTGGGTTTTGCCACATAGTTCCAGTTGCTGCTGAAAAGTACAATAACATCAGTGGAATTTAAATAGTTAGACAATACAATATAGTAGACAATGTGCAGCAGAGCTTTATTACTTCTCTTCTCTCGACCTGTTGCATGTCACCAGCTGGACGCCGACAGGGTCTGACAGCTTAAACCAAACAGTGTTTTTTCTCCTGGTTTGGGAACCAGTTCATGATGGCAACATTCAACAGGAGTTGAGTCATCCGAGATGGAAATTTTCTCTGAACTCAAAAATGCTTGAGAAAACAATTATTGTGATGAATTCCCTCCAGGTTTATTCCTCAGTCCTCCCCCCTTTACAGTCTTTTTATTCTTTTATTTCTTTAGTCCATTGAGAAGGAAGGACAGAACCTGAGACCTGGTCAAAGTGAATGTTCTGTGACTTTTTTTTCTCTTTTTGTGAATTATGAGTAAGAGAATTTTTATAGGGAAGTTTTGCACACATTTCCAATGATTGTGTAGGAAAAATGATTATCAGCTGCAAATATACATGTAATGTATGATGTAGATCTGTAGTTTAAAACCTGTACTGTCACCAACATGTGAGCCAGGTGCTTGTCTGTGCAGCCATAAAGAAAGACTGATTGATTCAGCAGACAAGGATGGACCAGAAAGATCTGCAGCAGATCTGCTCTCTTATTGTCCTGAGGCCATGTTGCTGTGAAACTCACTGAGCCACAGTGTTTCTCTGTA